GCCATTCGAAACCCTAATGTAGCTACTCAACCAGCGAAACTTTTGGAAATTACCTTTTCCAGATAGCGTTCTTACAGAGTATGACGTGCGCCGAGATCTGCCTTTAGTACTAATGTATACCTACTCGGCTTTAATAAATCGCGCTTTATTTTTTGAGCGAGAACAAGAATTTCCCGACCTGTGGGATTCACCCGTCAATTACGCACACCTGCTTGGAAAATGTTTGTCAGATTGTGCTGGCACACATTACACCCGTCGAGCACTTCGAAAATTGTCGGTTTGGTCAATTTTTGTCGGCGGGACCTCCCATTTCGCAGACCTAAAATTTGAAAACCATGGAACATAGATGGAAGAAGAACACATCTTGTAGAGCAGACAATTCTCTTTCGAATGGTATATGACTGATGTAAAAGCATGGGATTTAGATGAAAATTTTTTGGTTGAAAAAAAGCGACACTATTTATGAGACAACCTAATACAAGCCGACATTTTCAAAACTAGAGACAAAATTCAGTTCATCGGGAACTATAAGGCGATGCTTTGGAGTTTTGGAAAGCTTTATTACGGCATGCTCCTTACGCTAGAGTTTCATCCTGAAAGGAATTTGGTTGCGCACGCGGAGTCCAAAGTCCTAATTGCGCAAAATTATCGGTCTACAGGAAGAAAAAGCCCAATTTTTGCCTCAGAATGCGCCTCGTATCCTCTTTCATCCACTTAACTATGCCATTGATTGAATTTCTTCCAGATTCCCGGATTTGTTCTCAGTTTGATGTGGTGAATAATTACGTATATGTAATCCCTGCCTTCAACATGTCTTGACAGTCTTATAACAAAACATTCCTGGAACTTCACCTTAATTGAAGAAGCAAGCCCTTTTTCAGTGCCCTCTCGAGCTTAAAGGAGATCCATTGCCATTTTGTGATTCGTTGTAATTTTTTGTGCTCGATGATGCTTCCGTCACGCTTTTTTACTGGGTGGTGAGAATGAGTAGTTGTAGGCTAAGGGCTGAGTATCACTACGGCTAAGTCTGCGAAGAGGAAGAAAGGCTGTGATGTATTGCTCACCCCCAGAATCCTTTCTCATCCCAAAATAGTCTAAAAAGTAAACCAAAACAGACTCCAAATCGGATGAGAATGAGTTCTTCTAAGCTTTAGTGTAAAAAAAAATCCAAAAATTGTAGTGTGCGCGATCATACTGTATGTCGTCCATTCACTTCTTCCAAATGAAATGAGAAGCCGAGAGAGCGCGGACGAACACTGCTCCGAGTAGAACAACGCCGTGCATAAACGGCAATGAAGGTAGCTTCCAGAAAGGCGAGTTTTCGGGAAATTTGTAGCTGAGTGTATAACTGTGCAGGGCAGTGTAGTTCACACTGTCTACAGACGCTACACTACACAGACACCGCCGGACTTGACCGCACTCACTTCGAACTGGTGATCGTCCGTTGAAGGGCTACCACCAGATATCGTCTTGACTAACATATGTTCTGAATACTTCCCTCTGCTTCCGAAAACAGATGCGTGTCGGTGCAGACCAACACCACAAGTGACGACGGCCTCCACAAAATGTAAATGTTTTCTGCCAATGAAATGATTAGCCTGTTGCAGTTGTATTCTATCAGTTGTCACTAATTACAACTATCATTTACCAGCTATCACTATGAACACTAGTAACAGATTTACTTGGAGGCCGTCGTACTTGTGTGATTTGGTCTGCACTCGGGGCGCATCTAGTTCTCGTAAGCAGAGGTACTTACTCAGATACTTAACAACCCGTCCATCGTCATAGTAGTTGTCCTTGCGCGCTCTAACGTTTCTTCCATTCCTTCGATCTTGGGCCTTAGTTATCCAGTGAACGGTCACCTAATTGAACAAGGATTGCATACGATGCGCCGTTACGACTTTCTATCGCGCTAATTTTGTCTGCAGCGAACTGGTGCTTGGTAGAGCATCAATCACTTCACAGATCGAAATGATAGCATCGAGCTCCGTGATGATGTCATGGCTTTTCAAATTTTCGTTGTTGGAAATATAAGGCGGAAGAATGTAGCTGATCCATACTCGTCTTATTTATATGGTGCTTCCGTGCTTTCCCGTTGACATAACGAGAGCCCATTCGCCGTTTAGACAGGTAGGTGATGGAAAGGATACCATTGCAGCTGTTATCGTACTGTGGCAGGATACAGTTCGAAAATCACTCAAAAATATGCACATATGCAGAATATGAAAATGCGATGAAATGACTTAGAAAGAGCGGAAAATAGGTATAAATAGGAAAACCACAATGACGTTGCACAATAATGAAATCTCACCCGTCGGACAACTTCTCTTAATGATAAAGGAGTTAATCTCAAGGCATGGATGCATCTCAACCGCAAACCAAGAAAGATCGTTCTTATATCCTGCAATCTCTAACTGAATCCCTGAGGGCCCTTTTTTGAGATGTCTTGCCTCTTTTCAGAAATTAGGTGCGGTTCATTTTGTGATAACCCAAAGGAAAAAATGGTAACTATCAACAATTTCATCAAACAAAATGAAATGAAATACAAGAAATATAAAGAGACTGTACAGTTTCGGATCACGGGAAAATTAACCTTTTTTTAAATAAATGATCATGAAATTTTTTTAGCTTCTTCAACCTGAACGGGATTACATGTGAGACGAATACTACTTCTATAAGAAACATTCCAGAAGCATCCTAAGCAACGGGTTTCCAAATAATAAGACTATTTATTATAACAACAGATACCAACTATCTACGGATGTTGTATCATTGAAAAACACAGTGCGTATTGAGGACATGGTGATTGATCTCAGTCAGCATCCTGTCCTTTGCCACTTTCCCTCTGTCCATGCTATCTTAATATAACAGTTCGAATCAAAGCCAATAATCACGTTGATCCGAGTTAGGATCCTGTTCTTCTTAGAGTGTCTTGATACTCTCCGTTTCACTGACGTGTACAATCCTTCTTTCATCCTGCCGGGAAGAGATTGGCAAAATCTAGTAATCTTTTTATGAGGATTGTAGTTCTCTTCAGACTCTATTTTTGACAATTTTGGGTATGTGTGTACCCTTAGGGACTGCTAAATTCAGAAACTACCACCTTGAATCTCTTTGTTGTGAAGAAGAGCGTTCAGACTCATACGCATTTTTCGACGAAAATCGTATTTTTCTTCAGATAAGAATTCGTTCCCCCACCCTCAACATCAAGCTTCTACATAGTTTCATCGTGAACACAGTCAAACGCGAACTGTTAGAGACACGAGAAATAAAAAAGGCTGGTTCCGGAAATAAGTAGCAGGGTGATTCTCTTCAACTCATCGCATGACCACAGTTTTCATCACTGTGGAATGAATGCGATGTTTCATTTGGTCGGTGCATAATATCGTAGCGCTCGCATTTGGCAAAAACGTTTAAAGCAAAACCCAAAAGCAAAGCTAAGCATAAAACTGATCAATGATCATTATTTACGACTTTGGTTCCATTTCGCAAGAAATTACCGGTTTAGAAATCAAAAAAGGGTACTGAGCCCGTTTTCAGAATCCTCATTATTCTCAATTTGTACGACGTGAATATGATTTGAAATTAAGGGTCGACTGGAGTAAGGTTCGATGATGACGATGGATTCCGAAAAACTCCTATTTTGGCAGCTTTTTCTCTATATAGATTTTCGCCCACCTTGATTCTCCAACTTCTAAGCGCCATATCTGAGTACACTTACAGTATAGAAGAAAATGCCAAACATGTATTGTAGAGCAGAAGAAGTACTTTCAAATGGTATATGGTAAGATCAGGGTAGGGATTGTTCCTGCTTACACTTTTGAGAGCAGCAGGTCAGTGAGTTATGTACAATGGACAGTTACTAAAACAGCTGTAGGTTTGAAAAAAACTATGAAAAAGAAGGAAGATGAAATAAACAGTAAAGAAGGACTATTGAGTGAAGAGAAGAAGTGAAGAGAAGAAGTTGTTCAAGCAAGCTTTCCCTCGGCGAACGGGACAAGGAAGGGCCTCACTTTAAATCGTATGCTCACGCAAATAAAGTCACACGAAGCTATGAAAACTGAAGCCAGAAGTTTTTGGGATTAGCATTGCAGTTTAAGTCAACACCAGTCGGTTTCCTTGCGCCACTTGAGGAGGTCATGGGAGTTTACCGGAACTTCGAGACACGGGTATGCCGACCACCCACGTGGAACCGGCAAACTTGACAGAATCCGCGACGCATCCTCCCAAATTCTTAGGCTAGAGTAGTCATAGCCGCGTTTTAGTGTTTTTTTTGGGGGGAAGCGGGTGGGGGAAGACACCTTCAACAGTGAAGGATTTGCTTATTATATAATTTAAGGGAGAAAGACTATGATACGTCGTCAATACCAAGAACTTCTAATAAACTGAGCTTCATTAGCTACTTTGAACTGAGAGGAGTTTTGACACGATAGTAGGGATGGAAGTAGACGCTGCAGTCACCGAGTAGTGCGTAGAATGAAGCTGTTTTGCCGAAGCCGCTTATGTAATTTGCTCATTGCGTGACCAAAAGTTTGGAAGCTGTCTCGACGCCTTTGATTATCTTAACACGTTGACGACAGCGTGACGCGGTAACGCGTCCCACTTTGCGCACCTCGTGGGACATTGTGACGCGGTAACGCGTCCCACCCAAGTCATCCTTTTTCTTGCGCTTGTGCGACTTATTCCTAAGGTCTTTGTACTCATTCTATAGGTCATACATTAGCATACTTAAAAACCACATGGCTCACAGAAAGGCCAAATATTCTTTAGTTTGGCAGAGGTTTTCCAGACCTTACGGATATGTCTGTTCAATTCATTCCTCGTTTTCTTTTCAATAACGTAATCATGTCGATAAAAAGGAATAGGAGAAGTGAATACAAACTTAACTTATGAGAAGTGAAAACTCAACGTGTTAAAAGCAAAGCGTAACTCAGAAACAATCGTTCTATGGAGAATCTTCAAATTCAGTTTCCGAAGGCGGTGATAAGGTGGCAGAATGTGAGGATAATTCATATCTGGGAAAACATGTAGAACAATATAGTCGTAAAGGTCTTCTGAAACTTTTCAAGTTTTTGGATGTCATTGACAAGGTATGGACTCCACATGAGACTACAGTATTTCAATGGAAGAATGTGTGATTTGAAGAGCCTAATCCACATGTCAACATTGACGCCATGAAAATGGACTAAACTGAGCCCTCTGTTGCTGACTTCATCCACATGAATGCTTCCAGCTCAGGGCTTGACCTAAGTCTTTCAATTTCTCACTATGCCTCAACGAAACTTTATTCGGAAAATGAATTCCTAGCGGTGCCACTCCGGCGAGAATAAGTACGCTTTACTGGAATTGATTTCCAAGCTCCAGGATGGGCCCAGCTGAACATTCTTTCAACATAATTGTTCAGCACTGCCTGAGCTTCATGTTGCTCATCTTGCGTATAAGTCACTGCCACTTTTATGTCATCCGCGAATGCGGCAACGGAGATCCTGCTGTCAGTTTTGAGATAACTGGGTAGGTCGTAGGTATAGATGAGAAAGAGAAGAGGCGACAGAACGCCCCCTGAGGGACCCCAGAAGGACATTCTCTAGTCGAAATACAGTTTCCAACCCGAACGTTAAGTTTCCGCCCTTGCAGGTAAGATCTAAACAAGTTCAAGGTAGCACCCCTGACTCCAATACTTTCCAGCTTAGCAAGCAATTTAGAGTGGCATACTTTGTCAAAGGCTTTGCTCAAATCGAAGTAAACAACGTAAACATTCTTGCCGCTGTTTATGGCTTCTATCCAAGCATGTGTCCTTAAGTAACATGCAAATGTCACAGATAGACATGAGTTAAGAAGAGCCTAGAAAACCATTCCAGTAATTCTTTTCTCACTATTTTCTCAAAGATTTTTAATGGGGTGGACAGAATGCTTATGGGCTTGAAGTTAGTTATAAGATCGCAGTTGGCCGTTTTGGGTATGGGAGTGACTAAAGAATTTTTCCAAACACTTGGAATTTGGCTTTGAACTAGGCAGATGTTGAAAATATGTGCAAAGGGAACTGCAAGATACTTTCAAGAAAAGTTGGGGTACCTCATCTGATGTGAGAGACAATGATGGTTTAAGCGTTCTCAGATACTTCAAAACAGTGCTGGGGGAGATACTTGATAACACCAAACACTCTGTGGAAACCGAAGGAGACTTATGTTGCCATCATGTGGTTCCGCATACATAACTTCGAAATAGTCAGCAATTGCTACAGCTTTCGTATAATTAGTTGAATACTAATTCCCTTCGGAACCTTCCAAGATATGGTGCATAATGTAGGTTGTGTTGACCTCTCTGTATCCATACAGCATGTCCAAACTATCATCCTTAGCCAATTTTCGCATTCTAAAAGCTAGGTCGAAATTTACATGGAAATCCAGGTTTTTGGAAATACCGCGGAAGAGGGCATTTTGTGATGGCTGAAAGAACTGCTAAAAGAGTCGCTCACGCTGCTCGAAAAGATTACAGATGCGCGTGGAATATCTACAAGATGAATGCTTTACGTACAGTCAGAGGGGTACGTCCGATTAATGATAGTCGATCAAGCGGCCCCAGTAAATCTGCCATAATTTCGTAATGTCCGAATAGCTATCAATGTGTCGCATCCAGTCCAAACTAGAAAGTATTTGTTCAATTTTTCCCTTATTCACACACTTGAATCTTATAAGAAAACAGCTCAGTATCAAACCTAAAGGTGGATATTCTAAAATAGACGATATTGGACCTGATGCTGATAGAGGGGGTTAGAAAGAAGGATTCGCGATACAGTGCTCATTCGATATATTGAGATTAGAGAATTCTCCCTTCTCTAGTTGGAAATGTAACCCAGTGTTGAAGGGATAGGTTTCTCGTATGCTTCTAAAAATTTTTACATTAGCGGCCACACCGACTTCCAATCAATGTCAAGATTAAATCTCCTAGAATAACTGCGCTAGGGCATAGGGCACTGTCGCCTATAGGTCAGAATTTCCCTGAACAGCTTTCTGCGGTTTTTTTTTCGAATTATTTTTCTAATGGTTAGTTCGAGAGAAACTGAGACATTGCTGGAGAAATTTATTCGTTAAGTAGGAGCATAGCGCTCTAAACATAACGGTACTCTAGCTTGATAGTAGTGCGGTTTACACGGTTGTACGGTTATAACAGGAACAATGTTCGAGGTGGATGTAACACTGTTGACATCATCCTGAGAACAGAATCTAAAAAAGCCTGAGTGATGCTATGATTATTTTCACAATTTATTAATTTGTTATAAGTTTGTACCTATAACCAGTCCGGCGTTGGTCCGGATGCGTTTTGATTTCCACACCAGCATAAATGCATCCATCGACGGTTACATTTTTAGGGAGCTTCACAATTTTTACCTCTACCTTTTGACCGGCTGGTGCCTAAAACAATCTCTAAGCGTACTGCGTATGGCTCATAAATTCACGAACCTTTATCCAATAGTTACATCTCTTGAAACCATCTCGTTCTTCGTTAGCTTTGCGACCGTCAAGTTTGTTTTCAAGAAGCGACCACTCCATCGTCGCCTCGAGTTCCTCACCGCATCCCGGCGGCTAAACTTAATGGGGTTAAAAAAATTCGCAAGCTGGAGTCACAAATTGACGGTCACCCTCTCATCGCAGAACTGTCCGCCGTATCCGCTAGGACAAATACACTTGGTGCAATCCCGCGGATGAGCGAATCCACCATTCTGGCACGGTGTGTTCTCGCCTTTGCATAAATCTGAAGCATTACTTTTCATAGGCACTTAGCTAAGCGAACACTACCAAAAAGGAACTCGCCAGTGCAATTATAGTACATGTTCATCATAAGCAGGTCGTAGAACGAAATGGTTTCTGAGCCCATGGTTTCCATGTACATAATATCTTTAGGTACCATAGTGGGCTTTTTGTTGATGCTACCGCTAGAAATGAAAATTTCATATCTTGCAGAGCTCTTGCATCTCCATACGCGTCTACCTTGTGGCCCCATAGTGCATCACACTACCGTAGTCATATGTCAAATTATAGTTATAATTGGTCTTTTTCGATTGCCTCAAAAACTCATCACGGTATTCCTCCTGCAATGGTCTACGACAATATCTTGCTTCTAAGCCATTTACAAGTCTTACGTTGATATTTCCCTTTGTCAACTGTGATGAATTGGTTACGGTCATGTCTTGAGTGTGTATGCCAGAATCCGAGAGCGTGACCAATTTCGTGAGCAGCAGGTACCGACCTGAAGCAGACCAAAATATGTTCTCAGTGTCAGAACAAAATGCGGAAAATTGGTGTTTCTTCACTGATAAAATTTTTTCGAGATACGAGGCACTAAGAAATGTTCCTCAAAAATAAACCGTTTCACAGCCTTGGCCAAGTGAAAGGAACTGCAATGGAGTGCCTTGTTGTCTACCAATGCGCGACGAACATCCCTTTCTCATAAACACAAAAATAAGTTGTGCAACTGGAACAGTACCATTAAATGAGATCTTAATTAAATTTCTAATTCCTCAAAACTTTACGAGATCCTTCGTCATTCTCCATCCCTCCTCCTTCTATCTGTTGTTCGTAGTCGAATATGTTCTCCTCTCCTGAAACTATCCCGCAGTACTATCTATCTGAAACAGTAATCTTTTTACCTTACCGTGCTGTTCATTTTTCAATCCTCTTACCCTCGTTCTCAATTCATCTTCTTCCCATCCTCGTTCGGCATAGTCGGATTCCTCATCTAAACAGTAACAACCAGAACAATGTTGCCAGAACTTCAAGTTTTTCATAACTGTTGCCTCTAATTCGTGAAAGTCGATGCACGTGTCATCCATCCATAACTGCGCTGCTTTTTCTGAAAGCAGTCCTGGCCTCACGATCCTTAACACAGTAATGAATATCTGTGAAGTCGGATGAAAGAAATGCAATGCACTTAGTTCCCAATCGAAGTAGTACAGAACTCCGTCTGACCATCTATGACCAGGATAGCTTTGTTGTCACTATCCCTGCCTTGCCGTCTAAGGTCCGAATTGTTCAAGATCCGCAACAAGTTGCTCCCCTTGTTCACTAAATAGGAAGAAAATGTTCAAAAATACACCTGCAAAAATTTTAAAAAATGTACTTTGAAAGAATTATATCTCCTTGAAACAGCGCGTCCGCTACTCCACTTTTTCTATTAATTTCCTCGATGGAGTCTCCTCTTGGTTGCACTTCATAACATTTCTTCTTGTAAAATTCTAAAAAAAAACTCAGCTTCCTTGGGTCACAAAAACTTTTTAAAATATTATTGGCTAACTTCCAATCTTTTTGAAAGCTCTTCTTTCTCTTGTTCGCTCAAGGAGAGATTTTTTTCGATAGCATCCCTTTGTTCCTCCCACATTGCATTGAATTCAAGCATGCGCCTACGTGAATCCTGTGGATTTTTGCTGTAATCTCAAAATTAGTATATAGTCTAAAAGAACATACTTTTACCTCCTAAATCATCTGTCAGTCTTCATTACTACATACAAACACACAATCCACTCCAGCGCATGAGGTCCTTGACGCGTGCAGCTGCACCTTGCTTCTCGGGTTCAACAAATCTGGTGCTCACGCCCGCTGCAGCAAGCAGTGCAAGTACAAGAACACTCATGGTTCGGATAAGAGCTGGAATACGTCAATGAAGAGCTATGCCTGAAGAGAATAGAAAATGTTTCGGCTGTTCCACTCTTGTCGTATTTATATGCTGCTCTATATGCATTTTGACGTTGACATAGCGATGTGTTTGATGTCCAGACATGTACACGAGCGATTTGGATGTATCCATTTCAACTGCAGCTCTCACACTGCACCAGATAGTTTTCGAAAATCACTAAATAATAGAAAGACTTGCAAAATTTGGAGACGCAACAGCATCACTTCGACGAAGGACAGCGGATAAAACCTGAAATGGTCGTCACTTGGTGCATTCTGTTTTTCTGTGTTACTCTGGAATGTTGGGTTGTTCGGGAAGTTTCCGCCGTTTTTGGTAACTTTTTCAGAACGTTTCATTTCTAACTCGTTTTTCAAGAAACTGCCTCGATGATATACCATTGGAAAGAGCGTTTTTGCGGTGCCTAACACTGCTGGTAAATTTTACCCTGAAACACTTGTTCCTCATCTTTTTGAAGTCCTGAATATGACATACACAACGGGCTATTTTGCACGAGTTTCTTGTTCCTGTCAAATTTGGAGGAAAAGTGCGGAAGCAAGTCGTAGTATCAAGTGAGTATTTGGTCCTGAATCCGCAAGAAATACGCTCTACTGTCGTGGATCAAAGTGTCCTTCCAGCGATGGTGAAAGTTTCGAAGGAGATTGGGGTGACAGTGGGATATCGGAGACTGGCAAAAATTAACCTGAGGGTCATGATCAAACTAAGTCTGCATGGAACTGTTCAGCAGGCCGCTTCTAATGAGGCGTCACTGAGATTTGGTTCCAAATATAGAGGTGAGGGTGAAACGTCCAAAGAAGTCGACAAGTGTGTGCCTCCCCTGCTCTTCTTCCCCCATTTGCGCAGCCACATCTCGTACTTCCGGCCGTGCATAAGTTGAACTAGCTGATACAAAATTTGCTGCGAGCACCTTGCACGGTAGACCTCTTGCTTACCAACTTCCGCTTTTCCAGCCATCTAGATTGTTTTTTTTTCAGAGAGATCAAATGTTGAAACCCAACATAGTGATGGAATGACTTTTGCCACGTTTTCGTCGAAAGAATTCTAGCAACTTCCACTTCCAAATCTGTCAATTCTTAATTATAGGCAAATGTATGGGGAATACGACATTTTATTTTTTTCGAAAATGTTCCGTATGAGTTTTTGAATTTTAGGGTCAAAATTGGCGGAAACTTTCCGACAAGGCAATATATTAGACTGGCTGATAAGATGTGTCGTTTCTGTAAGTAAATTGTACCATACAAACAACAATAAAGAGCGTCCCTCTTTCCTACATTTTATTCTCTCCGTTTTCTACGCACAGAAGGGATGGATTAATTGAAATGGTGTCTCCGGTGCGACTCGAAGAAGTTGGGTACCAAAATTTCAGCATCGTCAATGTTCTTGAACTCGTTCTCTGCTAAGGTGGTGAATTGTGCTGACCGGAATGAATAATAATCGGAAGGCACCAAGTCTGCTTAGCACGCTACGCAGAACCTCCGTGTGTCATTCACCAGTATATTTTTGGGAGTTTTAGCAACTCGGTTTTGCGCTTCCTGCAATAGTTCCATATCAGCTAGAATGAGCTCTTGATGACGCAGCGCCTAGTCCATGTAGGCGGCGACGAGTTCTACAGCAACTGCTTAACCCACAGTTATCACCACAAGC